GTTGTGAAGGTAGTTTTAGAGAAATAGTTAAAAGTTAAAGTTTTAAAACCAAAAGTAGTTTTTGTAGCGTTTTGCTATGAGTTTTCAAGATAAAGACTTGAAACTCTCAGATTATATGTAAAATTATGAGCTGAACAAATTTATTTAGAGTGCCAAAGGCAGTTATCTTAATAAAATAATGTGTTATTAACAATTTTTGACTAGCAAATTTTTAGTTAGATTTTGTGTAAGTGATTGACAGAAAGAGTTTTATATCGATATTTATTAATACTAAATATATACGTATTTATATATTTATTATATTATTATGGCTATTATGGCATATTTAATGAATTTATAGTTTCTAAATTTAAATTTTTATTTCCAAATTTTGCTAATCTATATTGATAATGCACTAACCATTAGGCCACTCCAAATTGATTCTTCGTTTAACATAACATTAAATAGTTTATAAGAGTAAGGAAGGGTATAAAAAATACACAAATTAAAAAAGATACAGCAATCCTATTGGCTGTAAGAAATATAAAATACAGTTGACTCTGACTATAATGAACTTCAATATAATGAATTCTAGATATAACGAACTCAAAATTCCATAGTAGTTCGGTATAGAAAGTGCCATTGATTCTTAAGGAAACATAATAATTTTCTATAACGAACTTTTTTTTTTCTTCCAGAACTATTAGTTCGTTATAGAAAGAGTTGACTGTATATAAAAAGCCAATACTGCAATTTGATTGATTAATGTGATGTGTATATTTTCATAAAATTTTGAAAAATAGAGTGGGGGTTATGTTAAACGATGGCCTGGCCTTAGGTATATGTACATATATATGTAGATAGGTATTGAAATTCAAAAAAGGAAATTAAACAATATTACGTACTTGATTATTAATTATTGTTTTATTGCCTTTTTTGAATTTAGACATACATCTATATATAGTCATTTTTTTTATCTAATACTAACTACATCCTGTGTCCATAAGTGCAAGCGTGCAGGCATTAATTAAAGATGCTTATTATCTTCAATATAACAAGGTGTAGGATGGACATGGCATTGATATTTTGTTCGAATCTGTGAAATGATATTAGCTAATTTGATCTCATTAGAAGTAAGGTTTGATTCCTTTGGTATATGATTAGTTTTTAATTTTTTAGATTTTTTTTCGATGTCTTTTTATTGGAATCGCTATCTTCTTCAAGTAATTCCTATAAATATAATTAAAAAAAATTATATTGGTTTAAAATATAATAGTCTATTATAATATGAACTTACATACTTTGGCTTTTCGTTTATTAGATTCTAATGTAATATATAGCACCATGAATTTCTTTAAACTTAGATTTTTGCACTCGGTAATGAATGCATCATAATCACATTCATCATCTAATGCCATCGCATAATCTCGTCTGTTTACTTTATAAGAAATTTCTATATTATTTTTATCAATTTTATTATTATAATATTTACGAATATGTTTCATAAGATCATTATGAAATGTATCAAATCCATTTGAATGAAATTTAAACCATTTTGCGGACGTCGATATAGAACTTTCAATATTAATAATAACCTTTGCTTGTAGTTCCAAATGCAGATCCGAACTATTATTTAAATGCAAATCCGAACTATTATCTAAATGCAAATCCGAACTATTATCTAAATGCAAATCCAAACTATTATCTAAATGCAGATCCGAACTATTATCTGATAATATGTAGTTAGTTGAAAATCCAAATTATCAAAAAAATCTAAGTCACTATTTGATAAACTAGAGTTTGTTGAAGAATCAGAATCTTCAACAA